CTGAAACACAATAATCGATTATCTCCGGAACACTTGAACAATGCTATGTTTTATTGTTTCTATGTTTCTTTATCGCGATAGAATCAGATGAGCGACACTACTTATTTTAGTTATTGATATCTTGTGAATGTGATATTTTATGGAAAATCATTGTCGCGCATAAGAATTAAGAATTTCTTGAAAACATTTTTTTTAGGTCGACCAAAATGATTTTCCGAGCTTTCCCTTAATCCGCTCCTGCCTATATCTCCAGCTGATTAAAACTCTTTTTGTTCCGACTTTCGATACGAAAGTAACGGAATATTTGTGCTCGGGTGGGTTTTTTTTTTCTTCAGACAAATTTCGACTTTTTAACTACCCATTTTTGACGGAATTTTTTTATATCATTCGAAAGGTATTGTTGTCATGAGCTCAAATTTGAAAAGATATTTCACCTGTGATCATTTTTCGTAAAGTTATGAGGGTTTAAAGATTGCCCTTTTGGCCAATTTGGGACAATTAACGCGCGATATATTTCGCGCTAATAACGCGTAAGCGGAGAGTTAATCCGTCTTAGAAATCGTTCCAAATTGGTTGAAAGAAGCTTATTTGCCATAATTGATTCGTTACAAGGAGCGAAATCTATATTTTTGTACTTTATATGGCGTGTGGGGGGATGAATTTCATAAAAAATTCAAATTTTAGAGAAAAAAAATTTTCATTTTTGTTTTATTACAATTAATTTTTTTATGTTATTACTGCTCCATAAACCTTAAAAGGCAGTCGAAACATTGAGGGCTTCGCTATGATACGAGCAGTCTTGTTGTCTTTTGGGTTCGGTAACCTGCGATGCAATTTCTACGTTCCCCCATAGAAGGTCTTTGTTCTGACAAGTTTGGCTGCTAAAGATTACACCAGATCCAAACCCATTTTTTGCATTTTTTTGTGAGCAATATTTTTTGTTATTGTTCCGACTTTCAAAACGAAAGTAACGGAATAATTGTTCTCGGGGTGGGTTTTTTTTCTTCAGACAAGTTCGGCTTTTTAACTAGCCATTTTTGACGGAATTTTGTTTATATCATTCAAAATGTATTGTTGTTTTAAGCTTAATTGTGAAAAAATATTTTACCTATTGATCATTTTTCGTAAAGTTAGTGGGCTTAAAGATTGCCATTTGCCAAGTATCTTTTCACATTTAAGCTCAAAAGAACAAAACTTTTTGAATGATATAAAAACATTCTGTCAAAAATGGCTAGTTAAAAAGTCGAAATTTGTCTGAAGAAGAAAAATCCACCCCGAGCACAACTATTCCGTAACTTTCGTTTCAAAAGTCGGAACAAAAACAGAGAACTGAATTTTAGTTGAAATGCTTTTGATCAAGATAAAACTCTTGGTTAAATAAAACACTTTTGCATAGCTCAGATGAAAATATGCATTAATTTGAATCAAAGAGAAAGCTTTAAAATCGGTAGAATGTCAAATTGTGGTTAAAACTTTCTTGCTTCGCTCAGATGAAAATCAAAGACTTTATATGAGGCCCCCACAGCCAGAGAACAATTTTCAGCTTAACGTCGTCAAAAAGCATTTCCAAACGATGAAAGAATGCGAACACTTGATTTGTGTATATGAAAAATGGGCATTCTAATGGGCGAAATTCACTTTCTTAGAGATTTCCACGCTTCCTTTCCGAATTTTGGAAAACTAAATAATTCACTTGTAATCAATTTTAGGACCAAGTTAACATCCTCCCCCCTAAACACGTTTAGGGGGGAGGATGTTAACTTGGTTCTAAGTTGGGAATTTTCAGCCAATCAGAATCGAGGTTTTTACATGCAGCACTTAGCAAATTTAATTTAAATTAAGCGCAGGGGTAGAGGATCTTAACTTGGTCTATTTGGGGGGAAGATGTTAACTTGATCCCAATTTTATGTAAGAGAAAGGGGTATAGATTTTTGTAAGGGGGTACGTAATCAGCCAATTTGACATATATATTTGGGACAATTAATTTGTGCTTTCAACGAAACTGACATTTTTTAAACAATTTTTCCGTACCTCCTTAAAAACATAATCGCCAGGGGCGGATCTAGGATTTTCTCTCTCGTTGGTGAGTAGGTCAAATCCCTGGGAGAAACGCGTCCGACCACCCCCGCCCCCCTAAATCCGCCCCTGATAATCGCCTATAGTTCAAATGAAAAATTCATCTGTAAATATTTGAGTAAAATTGATTGGGCTTTAAACTTTTTAAATTAAAAAAATTTAAGAGAAGGAATATTTTTGATCGATATGGTTTCTCACTGCATGAAATCATTGAGCTTTATCCTATTCGTTTTCGGCACTTTTGTGTTCTTATATAACTATATTTATCATTCCGAGCTCCGCATCATATATATCAGATATTCCAGCATCAGGAATTTCGCCTCTAATCTTTTCGCGTGCTGTGGAACCTGATCTAAACTACATTTTATGATTGGATAATATAATGATTACATAATATTTCTTTTTGATATACTTGAATCTTTTCTAATAATCCTAATCATTTTTTGTAACATTTTTTTAATTTTCTACACTATTCTCGAACTATTCCTCCAACTTTCCAAAACCCTTGATTATATCCACAGGTACGATTTATACAACTTGTCTAAATGATACGAACAATTTTCAGTAGAACCGATATTTTTTTATTGTTTGTAATTTTCATAGCATTCTTATCATCCCTCATTTTGACCATCTGTAAATGTATAAAGAAAGCAATCCTCACATTTGCCCTAGCAACAGTCCTTCTAATTCTTTTTTTGGAAGAATATTATAATAAACACAAAATTTCTCACTAAAGTAATAATTCAAAAAACCATCAAAAATTGCTACCCAACAGTCACAGAATCAGTCTTCACCGACATCATCCCAAGATAACCAAACACCACCTTCAACTACTCAAAATCCTCAAACATCTACACGAATTTCTTTTCAAGACAATCCATACACTTTTGAAGAACGACATGCTCGTTTATCAGAACCACTAGAACCAGTTCAACGACAAGCACCTTTAAGCGAACCAACATATAACCTATATCCAACACTACCACAAGAACTAAGTAGAATAAAAAATTCTAGTCAAAACCAAAATACAGTCGAAATAAATAGACAAATTATACATCCTCGACGAAACAGAAATTTTCAAACTCCCCGAGTTCATTTTGATATACCTCAATCCCCACCACAAAACACTCCAGAAAACCCCATTGGTATATTACCAGAAACCCCTACGCTTCTTTCACAACGTAGCACCTCAAGCCTACCATCAGATTACTTAGGTTCAACACCAACATCTGAACAAATACGTGAAAATCCTTTCAACCCCACAAACCAAACATCACGATTCCCATATTGGACTACACATTCATTTACACAAGGTGAACCAAATTTAGTCAATGACCCCATAGATATTTCTACGGATACAACAACATCCTCATCACTACCAGAAACATTATCACTACCATCAACACCATCAATAAGCCAGATTTCACCACCACCTTTTAACTTAAATTTTCCAAATAATCTCGACGCCAGATATCGAGAACAATCATCAATAAATATTCCTTTAAGATTAGATTGGAATACATTTACAGCACCTCCACCACTATTTGGACAACATCAAGAAAGTAACCGCCTTCATAACTGGGCACTTAATAGATTACAATATCGCCAAGATATTCACAACGATATCCGTGATCACAATATTCAAATACTCCAACAAAACAGTTTACAATTAAAGTTTGAAATCACAGTTAAATTAAATAATATTACCCAACATCCCTACCCATTAAATCCACCTAACATAACAGCTCAATCACTACCACCACCGTTTATAACTACTGAAGTAATATACAAATACGACAGATATACCAAAAACACAATTGGCTACATTACATTTTATAATCCATACTCAGGATTATCATACACATGTATATTCTAAAATTATTAATTTTTCTCCAACTCCTTTTTCTAGTAATCTCAAATCAAAACATAAACCCTTCCCCTCGTACAGGACCACAAGATTTACTAGTAACACATTACGATTGTGAAGAAAATGAACAAAAAACACTACATAAATATGCAATAAATCAAGTATCACAATGTGAAACAGAACCACAAGCTATAGAAACCACAGATGTAATAGCAACACTCTATTCAAAAGCCCGAGCAACAACAGTTACAGGTTATAAATTCACAGCAACATTTTCCGAAAAGAAAGTACATTGTTCACAAGTCTCGAACGGAAACAAAAACCGACTTGACCATGAATCATTCTATCAAAGTAATATAGAACGTCTTTTACATCTCAATCCCGACGATTGTAAAAATGAATTACTCAGACTAAACATCACACAAAATAAAAACTCCGCTAGAAAGTTAGTTAATTTTCAAGTTTTTCCAGACTCTGTACATCAATCACAACTTGAAAGACACCAAGGACATATAAAACTAGACGAAAAATACCCGTATAACGGCGCACACGGACGATTAACCTATGACCTACACGATAAACATTGGATACCACACATTGGTATAAATGACCCATCAAACTGCAAAGCAGACACAAAAAATAAAGGATACCAAGAAATAATGTTTTTTGATTGGAAAATACAACTCGAAAAAATACAACTAACACGAGATTTATCAGATAATACAATGATCTATCAAGGAATCCGATTACCTTGTAAAAATGATCAAGGTTATTGCGACCCTACAACGAGAACACAAGCAACAATTGTTTGGTTCCCCGAAGATACATGTACAACATTTCAAGTAGCAAAAATACACGCTCGTATGATAAAATTTCACGAAAAATATTTTATACAATCAATTCCATATGAACAAGTCCATCCATCACGAAAACTAAGTTCTAATTTTAGAAACATAGACAATATAGAAAACAAATTGACACGTTTCCAAATATATCAAGAAACAGAACTTGCATGTAAATACAGGAATCCACTTCACAGAACACAATATTCTGAAAT